CGCCTCGGCTGGCGAGACGCCGCTCGCGGAGTGGTTCTGGCAGATCGGCAAAGGCGCGTCGCGCGCCTGGTCGCGCTACGCTCCCCACCAAGAGGCTCTGATCGAGCGCGCCTACCAGCTGGCGGAGGAGAGGGTGCGGCTCGACGGCGAGCGGGTGCTCGACTTGCGGCAGATGAAGCAGGTGAACCTCTAACCCTAACCCTGACCCTCACCCTCACCCTCACCCTAGCCCTAACCCTCACCCTAACCCTAACCCTGGCCCAGGTGCGCGACGACGGCCCCGGCCGCTCCCGCCCTGTGCGGCGCGAGCCGCCTGCAGCGCCATACTCGACTCGTCCGACGAAGCGGAGGCGGGACGCGCGGGGGGCGACGGGCGGCGGCGAGGGCGGCGGCGGCGAGGGCGGCGGCGGCGAGGGCGGCGGCGGCGAGGGTGGCGGCGTGGCGACCGTGCGCGTTCTTCCCAATCTCTCCCCCGCCAAGCGCGCCACCGTCCGCGTCGTGGTGTTGCGGCGCGACAGTGGCGTCGTGCTGACGGCTGGCGAGAGAGTGGCGTCGTGCTGTCGAGCCAGTGAGAGAGCCAGTCACAGCGAGTCGCTCCTGCCTGACTCCAGGCTCGGGCTGCCTCGTCTCGCGCGACGGCCACGTGCTCACGGCGGCGCACCTAGAAAGAAAGAAAGAAAGAAAGAGAACAGGCAGCCCAAGGGAGGGAGGGGAGGACGGCACGCCGCCACCACACAGGGAGTTTAAGGAGAGGAGTGTGGTGCGCTAGCCGTCGCCCACCCTAGGGAGTCTGCCTCTTCCTATAGGCGGCACACCTCTTTGTGAGCGCGCGGTCGGGCGCGCTCTTCCATGGCTTTGCGCCGAGCGAGGTGTTAGTCGCGGTGGGCGTGTATGTCGATGACGCGGCGCCGTCGCGCTGGGCCCACGTGCCACGATCATTGTGCATGTCACATGTCTGTGAGTTGTCTGTGGCGCCCGAGCAGGCGCCGTCGCGCTGGGCGTACTGGGCGGAGCTGCAGACGCCGCTCGAGCGGCTGGTCGAGACATAGCTGAGATACAGCCGAGATACAGCCGAGATACAGCCGAGATACAGCCGAGATGCAGACGAGATGCAGACGAGATGTAGACGAGATGTGCCAAGAGATCGCCGAGGTACAACCGAGGTACAGCTGCAGCCGCTCGAGCGATGCCGTCCCACGCGTTGAGCTCTCGGCCGCTCGAGCGTGGTCGAGCGAGTGCAAGAAGGCTGGGGCAGAGAAGACGCGGCTGCTCGACAGGTCGAGAGGGACGAGAGGCGGCGGCTGCTCGATCTCGCCGTGATCCGGCTGCGAGGCGAGCTCACGATGACGCCCGAATCGTTCGTCGGCGTCGCTGCAAGGTACGCGATCGCTTCCGAGGCGACCGAGGCGCTGCCTCCGTTCCGCAGCGCGCTGAGGCTCGGAACGCCCTCCGCCGTGACAAGCGGCAGCGCTGTAGCCGAGAGGTGGCCGAGATGCAGCCGCCTTCCTCGCCGGTCCTTCTCGGCGCCCTCCCGGACCCTTCTCGGAACCTTCCCGACCTTTCCCGGAGCCGTCCCTGCAGGCAGCGCGCTGCTCTGCTCGGAACCCCTCTCGGACCCTTCCCGGAACTGTCCCCGCAGGCAGCGCGCTGCTCGTGCTCGGTTGGCCGTCGCCGCACGGCCAGACGTCCATCTTCGTCGACAGCACCCATGAGTGCCTCTCCCGCGAGGGGCAGCTGCTGCACACGCGCGCCTTCATCCACGCGGGATCGAGCGGCGGGCCGGCGCTCACGCCCTCGCTGCACGTCGTCGGCGTGGTGAGCCACAACCCGCGCTCGTCCGACGACACCATCCGCCCGCCAGAGGCGGGCGGCGAGGTGCACTACCTCGCGTGCATCCGCTCGACCGAGCGCATCGGGCTGATCGCGCCCGCCGCCACCGACCTCATCAGCTGCCGCCGCGCCCCCGCCGTCCTGCCACCGCCGCCGCCGGCCGCTGTGCCATCGCTCCCAAAACTAGCGTGAGGGTTGCCAGTGTTTGGCGAGGAGTATATGTGCTGCGAAGTTTCGTGTGGCAAAAATTGCGTGCTCGACACCCGCGGATTGTAGTTTGTGTGCCGTCTCTCGATCTCGTGTGCCGCACCGCGCACGCGCCGCAGTGACACGTAGGCGACGGAGACGCGCTCGCCAAGTTTCCCGCCAGAGGATGCTCGCAACCCCCCACAGGGCTCCGAGCCACTGGTGTGGCACCTTCTTGTCGTCGGCGTGTCCCTATCACGACGAGGGCCGCCGCTACTCGTGCCATCTCGCGCATGCGGCACAGGCGGCCCATAATGCCTCACCGTACGCCAAATGCCTCCCCATTGAACGCCTGTGCCGCAGATGCAAACATGGTAGCACTGTGTGACTGTGCACCGGCAAGGCGACGGACTTAAGCACTCATCGGCGCAGGCACCGACGCGTGCTCGACGCTCGCCATACGTCTTCTTGCCGCGAATCTTCTTCTGATAAAAGTGGAGAATATTTGCGCTTGCTAAGAGCGAGGCAACATCCTTCCTGGCAAATTAGTTTTTCACCTTGCCAACCGCAGTCCAAGTGCTCCAAGGCCAAGGACCGATATATAGGTAGTGGAGGTAGTCGTCTCAGTATAGTGACCTGTCCGCGTCGTGGGGGCGGTCCTGTCTGAGTTAGGGGGGGCGGGGGCGGGGGAGAAGGAGAGGAGAGTCGTTGAGCCTTGGCACCAGCCGGGCAGTTGGTTTGGCCTTGGCACATCAGCCGGGTGTGATGTTGATCTGAGGGAGGGTGTAGAGGATGTAGAGTGTAGAGCGCTGTAGAGCTGTAGAGCTGTAGAGCGCTGTAGAGCTGTAGAGCTCTACATCCGCCGCGTGACTGCCTGCGTTGTAGAGCGATGTAGAGGCGCTCTACAACGTGAAATCTCTACAACAAACTCTACATCATGTGCTTATCACAGTAGCCCGAGGACGGGGGGGGGGCGGGCCTCACCCGGGACTCACCCCGAGACCCCACCCCGGGACGCGCCGGCTGCGGGTGAGGCCCCACCCCCGGGGCAGTGAGGGGCAGGGGCGGGGCGGAGCTCCTCAGAGTGAGGCGCCCCGGGTGCCCCCACCCCCCGACCCGCCCATTCAGCTTTGCTCTTTCGTCCGGAGCGCGCCTTTCAGGGGGTAGAATTCTTAATCTTTTAGGCGTGGCGCTGGTGGGCCGGGGGCGCGCGGTAGCCGGTAGGCGTAGGTACGGGGCCGCGTGCGCGTGGGCTGTGGCCCGCCCGTGGTGCCCCTGCGCCCTGGCTGGGTCGGTCGGGCAGCGAGCTACCCCCCCGGGACAGCGCATCGCGAGTGAGGCCCCGGGGTGGGGCAGGTGAGGGAGGGGGCGGGGACGGCCGGGCCCCGGTGAGCCCCGGGTGAGGCCCGCCCCCCCCCCGTCCTCGGGCTACTGTGATTGGCACATCATAAGCGCGAACGAGGCACGGTCGCTCTCCGACATGAGGCGCGTTGCACTTGCCAGTGCTGCCCTGGCCTTCTGTCTGCCCGCCCAATGGGTGGGAGGTGCCTCTGCTGCTGTGGCATGCCTCACGGCTGCGACTGGCCGGCGCCTCGGCGCGTCAGCTCGGCTCGGCGTAGCGATAGTGGCCAGCGCAACTCGCCTGGACTCAACGCTCAGCCAGGAGCTCCCGCACGCGCTGGCGCGAGTCATGGCGCAGACAACGCGTCTGAATGCTCGCCTCGCCTCGCGCAAATGCGACCGTCCTCGCAGCCGACAGTCCACCGCCTGAAGCACAGCGACGAATGCGGCACCGGCGACGCATGGCAGGCTGGTCATGACGCAGTTGTAGGGTGTTGTGTGTCGTCAGAGTGACTCTCTGTGTGTCAGGGATAGTCAGGGCCGTCCATCAGAGCTCCAGTAAGCTCGGAGACACCCCATTAGCGCGGCTCGACCTCTTTGAGTCACTGCCTTCCCGGCGGTTTGGCTGTAGAGCCTCTACAACAAACTCTACAGCAAAATCGCGCTCTACATCGCTCTACATCTGCATCGCTCTGTCCCGCGCCGGATGTAGAGCTCTACAGCTCTACAGCGCTCTACATCCCTACAGCTCTACAGCGCTCTACACTCTACATCCTCTACACCCTCCCTCAGATGTTGATTTGGCCTTGGCACCAGCCAGCCCTGGCAGGGGCACGCGGGACATGCACAAGCGCCAAAGGGGCGCAGCGTCGACCTCACCCGTCGGCGCAGGTGGGGGGACGGGAGTTCCGTCGGGTTCCCCTGCGCGAGCGCGAGAGTAACCCCGAGAGGGCCAAGATGAGCGGTGCGCGCAGGGGTCGGCGTGGAGGGCGATGAACAAGCCGCGCGGGGCGCCGCCTCACCGTCGCGGGCTCACCGCCTCAAAGTGGCGCAGGGTGAGGCGGCGCTCCGAGCGAGTACGTGAGCCCCGTGACTCCAACCAGGCCCTTCCTTTTTTTTAGCAGGGGTGCCGCTGTGCGGCGCGCGCGCAGAGACTGGCCGCGTGCGTGCCGCGCGCGGCGGTGTCGAAGCAACTCCTCGACAGAGCAGCGCCTCCACATGGCACTTCCCCTCTGCGTCCGTGTACTGGCCCTTGACAGCCTCGACCGTCCCGGTCCCCGTCCGCGGGTCCCACATCCCCACCCTTCCGCCCCTGTCCCCGCCCTCCACGCCCAAAACCGTCTCGCGGGCGCGTGGCAGCGTATTGCCGCAAGCGACGAACGCCCCCATGCGCCCCACCCCCGAGGGGTCCGACGGCACGGCGATGCAGGGCAAGTCCCCACCCAATCACGCCCTGGTAAATGTACAAGTCCGTCCTCGTAGTGCAGTAGTGCTGTGCTCGCAGTGAAACTCGTGCTCCACCGCGCCGCGCCCCATGCACTTTTTGAATGCCGTGGGGCTCCTGCCCAGTGTCTGTCCGGGTGTGGAGGCGCGGCGGGACATCGCGAGAAAAAAATCGCGCGCGGCTTTTCTCGCCTCTCGCAGAGAACGCGCTGGGGCCGGGACACTCAAGCGGAGAGACGAACAACGCGCTCTGCTCCCCGGCCCTCCCCCCCGGCCCACCACGGGACACCCGCCGCCGGCAGTCCGCATCCGACGAGCCTCGACTCGATACGCGGCGCGGCCACTTTCCGCCCTTCACTTACCCGAACCCAGCCTGGCGCCGGCGCCGGCGGCCAGTGAGGCGCGAAGGCGGCTCGCCTGGCTGAGCTCTGCAGTCGAGGCCATGTGCGAGCTCGTACGGCCGGACAGTCGGGCTGCCTGCGATTTAGGGCGAACTTTCGGGTGCGTCCTGGGCGACAATGCGTCTGCTCGGCGGCCCTACGTGTGGGTCGCCAAGAGCTGCCGCGGGCTCTTCCGCCTCACTCACAACACAGTTACCTGTGACATCGCCTGCGGCGACTACCGCACGACAGGCCAGCGCTGCGAGGCGACGGAGCGCAGTTGCGGCCGAAGCTGCAGCTTGCCTCGGCCACTTACCTCGCCCCTCACGAGCAGCAGCCGGGATTGCCACGGCCCCAATCTCGTGCTCCCACGGGTCGCAGCCCCTGTGAGCCTGCCCTCCCTGCGGTGCCAGTACTCCCTCTCGCGGTTTGCGCTCTCCACCGAGGCCCCCGCCTGCGCGACGGTCGATGCCCTCGTCAATGCGACCGCAACGGGCCGGTACGACAGCGACGGGCGGTTTGTCACCGACTGTACGATCCCAACCTACGCTTCCCTGCCGCGCGGCGGTCGGTGCGTGCACATCATGGGCGACTCCTACACGCGACACATGCTGCAGACCGTCTCGATGGTCTTGAAGGACAACTTTGTGAGCGGCGGCTTTGAGCGGCCGAACGCGAACTGCCTCTGCGATGGCCAGTTTAGCGAGCTCGAGCCGTGCCGGCGCAACGTCTCGTTCCCCTTTCCGTGCACATCGGTAGAGTACGACTCTCGCCTCACGTGCAGAAGCCGTCGGTGTTCGAACGCGGTCCGAACCAGACGCGGCGGCGAGGCAGCCTTCGTGTGGCTCCAGGGCGGTTTGCACTACCTGCAGGGGCCGTTACCTCGCTCCGGCCGTCCCTCCCTGCGGGCGCCAGTCAAATCGTTTCTCGCCGCCATTCGGACCACGGCTCACCGACATGTGCACGCGAACGATCGCTTCTTCGTGTCCGGCCTTCACTTCCAGACGCCCGCTGCTGACAGAGTCTTCCCGCACCAGCGACGTGCGCTGGCGCAGGAGTTCAACCGGCAGGCCCGGCGAGTCACCGAGGAGGTGGGCGGCAGGTTTGTCGACTTCTCGACGGTCGCCGACGGCGACGAGGCTCGCGGGACGTCCGACGGTGTGCACTACTTGACGTCGGCCAATCTAGTGAAGGCGCGCATCTTCCTCGCGCTGCTGCACATGACGTGATCGTCGTGCCGCCAAGCCCGAGCAGACGTGTGACAGATAGACGCAGGTTTGTGACGCGCTATTTACGGTTCCCAGTTGTCTTCGAAATCGGCACACCTGGGTTAAGGCGTCCATGCCATCCACTTTTACACTCTTCAACCGACCGACCCCCACAAGGCTAGTTCCAAATTTCACTCTGACACGCTAATCTTGTCTTAGGGGACCCCTAGGCTTAAAAGGGTGGGCCCTGGGGCGCCTGCGGCTTAAACGGCTTAAAACTTGCCTAGGCAAGTTTTAAGAGCTGCTGGGCCGCCGATTCCTTAAACGGTCTTAAACGGTCAAACGACTCGGCAGCCTCCCCGCGCCCTTAAACGCGATCACACCATGAATGGTCTATACTCAAAACTTGCCGACGGGCGGCGAAAGCTCTTCGCTCGGCCCCGAGAGCGCTTCGCTCTCTGCCGCCCGCCCGCCCGCTCGCTCGCCCGCCCGCCCGCCAGCCTCCCCGCGCTTAAACGCTCTAAATGGCTCAAATGGCTCAGGTTGGGCGCGGTGTGCGATTCTCTTAAATGGTCTCTTAAATGGGAGTGGCAGCATGGGCCCAATCTCTTAAACGCACCGAGGCGGCTCTGGAGCCGCCAATCTCTTAAAAGGTCTTAAAAAAATCCGGCCCTCAGAACCCTAGGGGTCCCCTAAGAATCTTGTGAAAACGTCTCCAGGCTAGTTCCATTTCACTCTGACACGCTGATCTTGAAAACGTCCAACGGAGC